CGGAAAATGAATTGGATTGGCTAAAATTAATGACACTTGAGATTAATTATCCTCTAGGTCTGATTTAATCTAACAGTAGATTAATAAAGAATACATTCTTGAATGATGAATACGAAATGAGAGATAAACAGACCTTTTCACATGTTTTGTCTTTGTCTGCGGGCATTCTATCTAAAAAGATGGGCAAACTTGTATGAAAGTGGAGAATAAAAACGGTTTTCAATTATGCCCATTTTTAGAGAGAAAGTTGTCTCATTATCCAGATCGGGTTGCTACAACATAATGTATTTATCTGATCGCTTTTATGTTGGATACGTTTGTCAACCCATGCGACAAAGAGTGGCTGAGCACAAGGCACAAGCTGTACACCAGATTGAATGGTCTCAAAACTTCTTGTTTTGTTGAATATCGCATGTCTGCAGATAGGCCTAAGATGAGAGTCCATCGAAATCAACCGACTAGGCGAGGCATTAAATGTAAGGATAATCAGCAAGAAATGAAATAGAAACTTTTTGTGCTCAAGTAACAGATTCAATGAGAGAGAGGGTGTTGAGCCTCCTGCAAAAAGGAGGCGAGTCAACCAGTCTTTTCTTTTCTCGTTTCGGTTCTAATCACTCTCTCTCTACTTAAAACCCACTCTTTCTCTTCCACATGCAGACACAAAGCTCATCAACATAACTAGACCTGTGTCCTAGCTTGCGCAGTCGGAGGGATGGTCAAAATATATACAGAAAAGGGTGATGGTGGTCATAAAATCTTGATGGCCGAACACAGACGTCACTTTTGTTGTTCTAATTACTTTGAGTCATCGCTGCTGGTTTCGAACACACATGCGAACACACACAGGTACATACACATACATAGATGGAGAGACTTACATGTTTCTGGGTTGAAATATGGTTGAAACTAACCAAATCACTTTACACTTGATTAATGAGCTCATATTAAGCGTATATATAAACATATATAAATATATAAATATATATAAATATATATATACAGCATTTTAGAGATCAACCGATAAGTTTTCTTGATTCGTTAGCTTGAATATGGTTACGTCATACGACGGACGAGAGCTTAGAACACTTTCACCAGAATCGAAGGGGATTGCCTCGGAAATAGCGTCAACAAACATGTTCCAGTGAAGCCAATCGACATTTGGTCAAGAGAAATTCGCCGCCGTCTTTCGGTGGGATCTACCTTTGAA